TATAATTAGTAATATAATACTCCGTAACATCATTCCAGCATCAGCATTTGATCAAGTTAAAAATTACTCTTTTCTTATTAACTTATTAACTTATCAGTATAATTAAGTAATTGTACATGACTTAGGGGGTAAAATGATAACAGGATAATGGGATATACAATATGAGCAATTGTTAGTTTAGCAATACCACTCATGACTAAATGATGTTTTATAGACTAACCGTAATCTATACTCAACGCTTTCAAACTTTTACCCCAAATGATACAGAGACAAAGGGACTATCAAAATAGAAACTATTGACGGTGTAGACCATTATACTTTGAACTACACGAACAATGATATTTAATTAGGTAATCTGAAGACTACAACTCAAATTATTGATCCAGTCAAAACAATGTTGCTAATGCAAGTACATAATGACAAACGAGTCTTAATTATCAGTGTTGTTGACTATTTAAGTATCGCATGCCAAATTGCGTATCACATAATTAAACGATATAATAATAGGCCAATAAGAATCTGATATACAATAAAACAATAATACATTGTTGCGCTACACTTTTATATCGTAATGAACTAAACCAGTTATAAACCGGAACTAAAATAGAAGTGATCCATTACAAAATTACCGCACCGTTTCTAACCTAAAATCGTTTCATCCGGCTAAAAAACCGTTTATACCGACTTGTTAACAAACCGCAACCGCTCTGCACCGAATCGTTTTCTACCCGGACCGATTACAAAAGTTACCGGATTGAAACCGTACAAGAACAAAAGGAAACCGAATTCAACCGATTATTATGTGGACTGAACTAAAACTGACCCGTAAGACACTCGAACCAATTTCAAACCGACCTGATTTCATACCAAACTGTCAACCGTTATGACAGTACTATATTACTTCCAACGGAAAGGAAACATTCAAGTTTTCCCATTTATATGATCAATACTACTTCATACGGAAAGGCAAAATTAAAGTTTTCCCTTTTATACGATAAACGTTATTTTAAACAGAAAGGCAAAATTCAAGTTCTCCCTATTATTAATGTTAAGTGTTTTTTAATTTGGAAATAGTTTTCCCTTTTCTATGATAAATGTTATTTTATTTGGAAATAATATTCCCTTTTCTATGACAAATGTTATATTATTGGTCATAGTACCCACAAACACCGTATTCCTATGCAGAGGTCTAATATGTCAAATTAACATATTAACTAATATCACACCCACAAGGACTGTATTCCTATCACAAAAACAGAATTGGCAAAGAACTTGTTCACCAGTATCACCCACACACAAATATTCAATCTAAATGAGTTCCTCAACCCCTTCAAACCTGAACCCCCACGGTGGTCCGATCCCTTCCAAACCCGGTCCACCACAGAGAAAAAGGAAGACTATGATCTGCCGTCATAGCCTATTGGAGCATATTGCGGTTGGCTTAACCGTCGCCGGATGAAAAGGCCGTCGTGGAGTACAGTCTGTAAGATTTGTTGCTTCGGTCATCGACGATCCTGTACTTGACCTAACGACAGAAAGAGGATGTACTACTAAAGTACCCAAGGTTTCTGTACCTGCCAAAGAGAAAGATGTTGTTTCTGAGGTAACCCAGAAAGTTCACGCTGAGGAGAAGCATGATGCTGCTGAGGAGAACAAGGATTTTGCTGCTGAGGAGAACAAGGAGGTCGTTGCTGTTGAGGAAAATAAGGGCCTTGCTTCCGAAGGTGGTGCTGTTCAGCAAGTGATTGACATTCCTGGAGACGACCCCGTTCAGATAGAAGATGATGAGCTTGATGCTGTGGTTGTCATGGCACTTGCCGCTGCTAAGCCAGGGCCTGTACAACCTGTTGCCAAGCGAGGGGCTGTAGCTAAGCAAGTAAGGGTTACTCGTCCAAATCCCGGAGGATTCTTTCCAAAGATCTCGTTCAGGGTTCGGAACCTTAACGACGACGATCCCGGTGTCGAGTACAAGCTTAAGATCAATGAAACATTCTTGAAAATTTACTATGACTATGCTATGAGGGTAGACTGTCACCCGAATGATATTACCATCAGGAATGCTCGCGGCGTCGTGCTATGTACTAACAATCCAATGTTGGCTGGGATTGTGAATGGGGCTATCCTGTTTGTTCGGAGCCAGGTTCGGTTCTTTTGTTCCTTTCGTAAAATGAAGTCAAAATTTTATGTCATTTTATGAAAATGTCGTTAAAATGTGGATGTTTGTTGACGTTGCTGATTTTTTTTTTTAAATTGCAGCTGTAAATTTCGACTAATTGTAGTCGTTAATTTTGTTTAAATGTAGTTGTTAATTACATTTAATTGTACTTGTTAAATTCGTGGAATTGTAGTGATTAATTGCATTTAAACTATGGTTAAATAATGCCAAATTGGCGGAGGAGTTTACAATAAATTCGAGACCCTATCACCGTAACACTCTGTTAAACTTAAGTTATTTAATTCGTTGAAATTAAGTTGTTAATCTCGTTGAAATTTGAACGGTTTGAATTTATGTCATTTATGCTAATCTCGTTAAAATGTAGTTAATTTCGTTCAAATTAGGTTGTTAATGGCAGGTTCGGTTTATTTTTCCCTGTTGTAAAACGAAGTCAACATTTAATGTCATTTTATGAAAATGTTGTTAAAATGTATTTGTTAACGTCGTTAAAATGAAGTTGTTTATTTGGTTAAATTGTTGTTGTTATTTCGTTTAAATGTAATTGTTAATATCGGATACTTATAGTGATTAATTTCGTAGAGTTTTAGTTGTTAATTTCGTTTAATTTGATGTTATTTACGCCAAATTTTAGTCGTGAATTAAAATAAATTTTAGTCATTTAATTCGAGTTGAAATTAGCTCGTTGAAATTTAGCTTTAATTATATGTCATTTTACGCTATTCTCGTTAAACTGTAGTTGTTAATTTCGTTAAAGTAGGTTGTTAATGTTGTAAATTTTTGATTGGGGATTTCGTTAAATTTTAATTTTACATTTTAGTTCTTCATTTCAAAATCCTTTAAAGTTAAGTTGTTAAAATTGCTATATTGTAGTTGTTAATGTCGTTAAAGTTAAGTTTAAATTTAGTTAAATTGGGGTTGTTAATTTCATTTAAACTTAGGTACCTAAGGCCAACATGGATGTACGCAAGAAGCTACTCTATCTCTGAGAGCCCGAAACACGTGCAGTGAAGAAGAAGGTATTAGTCATGGTGGATGATACTCTGGACGGGCTGTTTTGAGCTTGGAGTCAGGAGGTGAATGTGAGTCCAAACAAAATCCTTATGATTCACGAGAACAAAAAGGTGACTCCGATCCTGTTCACGATGTTCGGGGTGCGGCCATGAGGAATGGCGATGAAATATTTTGCTTCACAGACAAGTAGGGCATGAGGAAGCCTAATGTGTATGTGTGTGTGAACAAAATCAACTGAATCCCCTTTTCTAGGAAGCCTAATGATTTCACCTTTGTATTTCATGTGGATTAGAGACTTTAAACTTAAAATTGAAGCTTGATGTACTTGATGTATTTGACTTTTGAACTTGATGTATTTGATGATTCACGATGCTTGGCGGAACAACGAATCTCTAATTATGATTTTCATTATGATCCTTGATGTATGAATTAGAACAATGAATGTTTAAATATGACTGTTCTAAGTAGTAAAGTATTCACAGGTACCACAACATGGAGAAAGCTCTGTTAACATAGAGCTCTCCGTTAGTAGCTGTCCTTGCAACTGTATGATTTGCAAACATCAATATGTGAATAATTTGGATAAGATAAAATTAAAAAAATGGAAAGGTTTCCCCACAAAAAAAAAAAAAAAAAAACAAAAAACACAACAGGGAAATTTTTATTAAAATTCTTATTAAAAATTTTAAAAGCTGGCAAACAAAACGCCATCATTACCTTTAGCAGACTGGCGCGAGAATTGAAACGGTTAATGCCTTTCCATATTTCATCCCCTTTTTCATGTCACTTTTCAGAAAAAACCAGACCTCTTTGGAAGAGAAAAAAACCTCTTTCTTCCTCTTCAAAACATTCAAAAAAAACATCTTCAACACGAATTTTGCTCCAAGGTATATTCCTATTTTTTTTGTCTTGCTCCTCCTCAATTCGCCATTTATTAGTTTGGGACACTGTAATTATGTTTCCTTCTTTTAGTTTTGATCACCGCACTGTAATTATGTTCCCTTTTATTTTTTTTTGCTGGTTTTAGGGGTAGTTTTCTTCTCCTTGGTTCTTTTGATAGTTTGGTTTTGCCACTCTTATGTTTTGTCTTGTTAATTGTTTTGGTGTACACTGAATTATGATTTTTAGTCATTTTTTTACATTTTTTTTGTTGATTTTCCGGCATGTGGTGTATTCCTATGTTTTTGCCTTAATGGGGGTGTGTAGGTACTGATTTATGGGGCCTTTTATTTTTAAATTTTTTTTTATCAACAATGGGATCTTGTTCTTGTGGTGATCGATCATGCTTGTTTTTCTACATTTGCTATATTATTTCTGGTATTTTCCTGTTTCTGTGTTGTTGTTCCTCATGTCGCCATTAATTTAATGGGGTGTCTTTTTTTTGCCTTGTTCATTTCCTCATTTCGCCATCAATGGGGTTGAAGGCACTGAATTATGGGTGGTTTTTTTTCCTCAATTTGGAAATTATTTTTTTTTGGTTTTTTTGTTCAAAGGTGGGAAATCATGACTTTAGACTTTAATGATGTGGGGGATTTTTCTGCAATCTCAAATTTTTCCTCATCCTATAGGCGAAACCATGGCTAACTACAACAGGGACGTGAGTGAGGTGAAAGCGCAACTTGAAGTGTTGTATGCAGAGTTGGCCGAAATCAATGCACAATAGAAGGGTAAGATTGAAGAATAGGCTAAGATTAGAGCATCACATACAACAAAGCTAGAAGAAGCGGGAGTTTTGTCGGCCCGGTTGCACCGGCTCCGGGAACAGCGAATTGCACACCTTCACAGTCAAGTTGATGAAATCCGTTCAACGGCTATGTCAGGTTATGTCGGAAATGGCATGGCTGTTGGAAATGTGCAACTTGTTGAGAGGATTATTGAAGAGGACAGGGGTAGTGCTGTGGCTAAGAATGTTGGTGTTGATGATGACGGTGATCATGAGATGGAGGAACACAATCAAGGGGGGGGTGACAGTGATGATGCAGAAGAGGGGATTGCTGATGATGAGGATGATGAAGATGTAGAAGATGATGAAAATGGGGATGAGGACGGGGGTGAAGCTGATGAAGATGATGATTCTGAAACAGATCATGGAGGGCACTGGTCTTCTGGCTCTGATGATGGTAGAGATGAGTTTACGGGTAATGCTGAAAACAACAACAACGGGTTAGACAATTCAGATGCTTACTGGCGCACTCCTAGCAACTATGACCGCATTTGTTAAATGAATTTGTTATCTAGGTTGATTTGTTTATAATTTACCCTTGTTTATATTGGTATTATGATTTAGGTTAGTTTGTTTATATTTAGTTGTGTAATCTAAACAATATGTATAAGTTTAAGTTTAAGTTTAAGTGTACAAACTATGTTCATATTTGTTAAATGAAAGCACGAGTCCTTGACTGATGACCCAAGGCTTTGGCAGAATTTTCAAATATACCTACCTATTGTCGCTATAAGAAGTGATCATGGTAGAGAATTTGATTAATTGAATTTTGAAAACTTTTGGACATGTCTAGGACAACGCTTTTAGAAAATAACTCCATTTCCCACAATTTCTTAGCACCTCCACAAAATGGAGTTGTGGAATGTAAGAACTACACTCTTTTGGACATGTCTAGGACAACGCTCTCAGAAAACAGTTTACCAAAATATGTCTTAAACCGTTGCTTAATTTGCCCAATGTTGAAGAAAAAGGCAAATAATTCCTATTTAAAGCCTTTTGGATGTACTTTCTTTGTCCATAACAATGAAAGATAATCCTGTAAATTTGAAAGTCGGCGTTTGGTCTAGATCAACGAATGCAGTCATTTCAAATATAGGAATCATTTTCTTGGGAATTGGGAATGTAGCGATGTGTTGAAGGGCAAGCACGTCTGCAAAACCATTTCATCATCAATCAAGGGGTGTCGTAAGTGGACCCATTTTAATTAAGAAATGTTTTTTAAAATTCTTTTTTTAAAAACTATTATATCTAAACAAATATTTATTAAAAAACAATTAATAAATTATTGCGTAACACGTAACCTTTCACCTAAAAGTATTATTACTAATATCATTAGTAACGTTACTTGGATGACAAGGGAAAGTAACTAACAACTGCGTCGTTCAACTCGGCGCGAATCAACAATTGCCTAATACTGTTACTTTGATCAAGTTGGACAACAAAATCAACTACAAGAGCAATGAATGGAACATCGACACTTCAATCAACTTGCACAATAGAATCAGGTAAGGGAGCAATAAATGGAACATCGTTACTTCGATCAACTATAAGAACAATATATGGTGAAGAACAATATATGGTTTGAGGTTACTTAGATCAAAGCGACATATAGACGAACAATAAATCGCAGGACGCAAGTTCGATCAGGTAGGAGGAACAACATGACCCAGTATGAAAAGTGAAATGGAACAATGTTACTTCGATAGAACAGTAAATGCAACAACGTTTACTTGATCACTTAATAAATCTAACAAAAGGAACGTAGTGCTTTCAATGGAGACGAACAATAAGATCAACTAGAGAAGAACAGTAGACGGAACAACAATTGAACTTCGATGATCAACTAGATAGTGGAACAATCCATGAACATCGTTACTTGGAATGGTCTACATAGACGAATTCGATCAACTACGAAACTATGATTTATACGAAATAATGTCAATTATTAAATGTAAAATTTACAAAATTATGCGGATTATAATTACCAAAAATTGTTACATTATTAGAGTTGAAAAAGGTTTAGGGTTTGAAGGGTTTAGGGCTTAGGGTGTGGAGGGTTTGGAGGGTTTGATCTTCGATTTGTCTTTTACTAAGACACAATATTCAATTCAATGGGATTGAATATGTAGTGGCTGCTTTACCCTGTTTTTAAATTTTTTTGTAATTGTTGCACAAGCACAATTTTTGTAATGGTTGTACATTAATGATTCAATTAAATATAATGTGTAGCGAAGTTTTTGTGATTTATAGTATTATTAATATTTATTTTTGGATTTACTGACATTGTTAATTATTTGTTTCAGTGACAATGTTAATATAATCATGTGGTGACAATGTTTGTAATTTGATCAACTCACTTTCCTCCTTGCACTACATTGTTTGCCACGATTCCCTATGTGTGATAGTATCCTCATATTACTCTACTTAAATAAATCTGTACGACTCATACCGTACTGTTTCCTCCGTTCGCTTCCATGAATTCCAGGCTTTTTACATCTATTATTTTCGGCCAACAAACCACAAACAACAAATTCACCATGAATTCTAGAACTCAAGTGCCATTGTCCATCACGAAGCAGCTTGGGAAGATGCAAAGTTCTTGGTCTTCTCGAAATATCTTATACCACCCAAAAGGCCCGATAATGTACTTTAGTAGGGTGCCTTTTGAAAATGTCCCGAATGGACTTCAACGACACCCGTTACTTTTACAATGACCAAGATCTATCCGAGTTCAATCAAGTGAGCTTGCGTTAGTTGCATACCGAGTTGTGCTCCAACCCGGAGTACGGTTCCCTTACAGCACCCCGTTTAGGATGATGCGGAGTCTTTCCCAACCTTACCTACTCCGATCGGTGTACATGCCTGTAATTGACGACGTGGCTGCTTACCTGCCCAAAGGGGTTGCCATTTTCATGAAATGGTTTTGCATTCGGGAATGCCCTTCGTCTCCTTACTATATTACTACCGAACTTGTTCCTGTATTTGATATGAAGATTGTGCTTGATTTGGCTAATACACCGACTTTCTCACTCCCAATTCCATCTCGAGAGGTACTTAGGCAAATTAATACTCCATTGTCTTCCATTTGGTTCACAGTTAACTCGGATGTGACTCGTTTAGGTGGAACCAGATACTTCAACGTTGCCGTTAGGTCTGAAACTTTTGACCGGTTTACTAATGGTCTAAAATTTGCTAAAGGTCAACATGTGGTAATTTGGAATGGTCGTAGCGTCCACCGGCCTTCTTTCCGTGAAATTTTTGAAAAAATCCACAATAAATACAACCCAATGTTATGGGTGATAACGGAGGCAATGACTAACAAACCTATGATTGGGTTCGTTAGAAGTGCATTAAGTGGTCATTACAGTGTTGAGGCGATAGTCCCAAGCTCAGGTCTTGGTGGTGTGCTGGTGGCGTGGAATGCAATGGTGGAGCCCTATTTTATAAGACGCCAGGATACATTGTACGGACACATTTTGTCCATGACTGTCATTGTAAGTGACAATCATTCCTTCCTTAGTACTGTTGTTTAATTTTGGGTAATTTGTTCTAAGTTCAGTAAAGAACACACGTAACATTAATCTTTCTTATTAGCCGAAGCCCACTTTGGATTCGGTAATTGAGAACATTTCAGACTGTGTATACGTTCTTGAAGACGCACGAAGCGACTCGCAGGAGTATGAATCAGATTGGTTTTCGAATGTGGGGTTAGATGATGACCCAACCATTCATGATTGGTACAACTAACGGAGGAACGGTCTTTCCAATGACTGATCATGTTATTATCATTTTCATAGTTACATTAATATTGTAATGGGGTTTGTTAGTTGAAGTGGTGTTGATACCCAATTATGTTTTCATATATTTTGCTACGTCCCTAAACTGATTAGTTGTATGTGTTGTTGCAATTATTACCGAGTCATATATTAAGTCATAAAATAGTAATTTATCCAAAGGTGAAATCACTTTATCAAAATGTATATGAAACTGCAACATAAAAAAACTAAAACTACAATGCTAAAAAAATTGTAAGTTAGTCAAGTGGCATGTAACCGTCACGTCACTCTGGAAACCTGCATCATGTCAATTCGCCTCTTCCCTTTTTTAACTTCCCATTTCTTTTCCCTTTCTGTCTCATCTATCCGTCACTTTTTCTCTCTCTGATATTTTCTGTGATATATGATATTTTCTATGTCTAAACTCATCGCGTCACTTTTTTCTCTCTCTGTTGTTGGAAGTTTATTTCCTTGCCATGTCAGATGTAAAAAGATAAATTAACAATGTGTAGCTTAATTTGCATGTACCAATTTATGACTAAGTGATGTTTTATACTTCCTCCGTTCTTTTAATATCGCATCACGAGTCTTACTGGTCTAAAATTTGCTAAAGGTTAACATGTGGTATACTAATGGCAAACGAGTCTTAATTATCAGTCTTGTTGATCGAATAAGTATCGCATGCCGAATAATAGACTTTAATGTAACCCGACCTGATTATTAACCCGGACTCGATAATTAACCGACACATGTTTGAACCAAAAAAAAGGTGACCCAAATATTATATGACCCGAACATTATATGAACCAACCCGAGACCCAAATTAACCCGAGTATTGGAGACTCTTACCCGAACGTGAACTGACTTGGAGATGACCCGTACGTAAACATAACTCGTAAATTATTGTGAACCAAACCCGACTTGAACCGAGATTGACCCAAACCCGTTTTAACGCGTTAAAACCCGAATGTAACCCGACTTGTTACTAGCCCGGTCCGAAATTAAACCCGACCTGTAACTAACCCGATCCGAATTTATACCCGACTGGTTACTAACCTAGTCTGAATGTAACCCGACCTAATAATAACCCGACCTAGCATTGGAACTGTTAAAAGCTGACACTCGAACTGAAAAATTTACCGAGCTCGACTATGGCGACCTGATTCCGCTATGACCCAACCTTAAACTAACCCAAGCTAAACCCGAATGTACTTCAAAACCTTGACCTGCATGTCAAAGCTTTGAAGTACAACTGCCGTTTATTAAATATTTTGGAACTTCAATATTAATTATTTGGGCATTTGTTCCTTTTTTTTTATAGCCGTATATTAAATAGTTTAAGGTCGCCGTATATTAAATATCTTGGAACTTTGAAATTCTATTTAATGCTTCCATTTTTCAAAACCTTGATTCTCTCCTTTTCCCTATTTGGCGTCGTTTTGTAAGGACCTTTTTCGAATTCCTACCTTTATTACACTTAAGCCCGTTTTAATTTCTCTCTCATCCGTCACTTGTCTTCTTCCGAATTTTCTGATTTTTTCATCTCTATGAAATTATTGGAAAAAACACCGTAATTCTGTGGTTTGGCTTCAATGGCGCCCAAAAGAAAGACCAGTGCTTCGAAACCTTCGTCTTCAAAAGCTGCTCGAACCGCTGCTTCCTCTAAGAAGAAGGTTCCCGAGGTCTCGTATTCCGAGCCTTCATCCCCATTGGAGTTCTCCT